ATCTTTATCTCATCTTATGTTGTTCCTCATATTTACAAACTGAGAAAGTGGTGGAGATAACAGACCTTTAACACTTTTGTATAGCAAACAGCAATTTGAGTATGTAATAAAATTTTCCCATCTTAAAAACCGACGTTTTTCTAAAATATTTCAGTGGTGAAGTCTTAATGTTTTTTTGTCTTGTATTTTGATTGTCTATAGAATGACTCTATGGGTTTTAATGCTGTTTTATTTTTTTGTGAATGTGAACATTTTAGCAGCCTGCAATGATAAGTGTGGCTACATGAAACCAAATTTTGAAATACTGTATTTAAGACGATAACAAACTTTTTAAATCTGAGTTTTAAAAGTACATTTTGTGTCCAATATGATCAACAGATATTTAAATTCATGCACAAGTTGTAGTTTCTCCCCAGCCACATAAATATCTACTTCATTATTTGGTAGTTTTGATTTGGAGAAAAACTTCACAACTGTTTTGTTTACATTGAGTTTTAAGCTGGACTGATTCAGCCAGTCTGGACTGGTTTAAAGCATTTTTTCAACTGAAATGTAAACATACAGAATTCATTATATTTAGGAGAAATGACTGTTTCAACAACACACCACCTTCACAATACAGAATTTCTATTTTTATGGTATTTATTATGATTATTATGTTTAAGTTGACTACAACTTTGTTACAAATATAAGTATNCATTGAACCAACATTTTCATAATCACTTTCCAGATTATTCCACAATCTTATTCCATGATCGGACGTGCATCAATCCTTCAAATTTGTTCGAAGTTTAGGTTTTACAAACATCTCAAGTCCCTTAAGATTATATGAACTTTTTCTCTTAACAAAGTATAACTGAATTTGTAAAGGTAAATTTTTGGTAGCCTTATACATAATCTGCAAAATATTATAATCAACCAACTCATAAAATTTTAATAATTTCAATTTAGAAAATAACATATTCGATGGATGACTGTAATGTTTTCTGGTGATAATTCTGACGGCTCTTTTCTGTAAAATAAAAATAGGATTTGTGATTGTTTTACATGTTTTACCCCAGACTTCAACACAATAAATAAAGTGTGGAACACTTATTGTATTATATAATATAAGCAGAGCTTTATCARTGAATAACTCCCTTACTTTATACAGTACTCCATCAGATTTAGATATTTTTGTTCTTAAGTAATTCACATGAGCTCTCCATGTCAGCCCTTCATCAATGATAACGCCCAAAAACTTTATCTCACTGACTCTACTAAACTCAACACCATCAACTTTAAATGGAAAATCAATAGTTTTCTTTTTGTTACTGAATATCAAGTAATTTGTTTTATCCAAGTTTAGTGACAATTTAAGTTTGAACCACGTTTGTATTTTTACAAATTCTATTTGTATCCTTTCCAACATTCGTTCAATATCCCTACCCAAACAAAAAAAATGTAGTGTCATCAGCAATCAGAACACATTTAAAAAACCCTGATACATTTACTATATCATTCACATACAAAATAAACAGCTTTGGTCCAAGTATAGAACCCTGTGGAACTCCACATGTGATATTACTGAGTTCAGATCTTACATCATTAATTTGAACAAACTGTTTCCTYTTTTTCAAATAACTAGTTACCCACTGCAGTGCRGGWCCTCTAATATCATATTTATTTYGCTTCTAATGGAGAATTTTGTGATCAATTGTGTCAAAAGCTTTCTTTAAATCAACAAAAACAATAACACAGTYCTGTTTTTGATCAACAGCTGTRGTTATCTGTTCAATCAATTCCATGAGAGCCATTGARGTGGAATTGTTAGCTCTAAAACCATACTGACTGTTACTTAAAATYTTTTGTTTATTAATAAATTTGTCTAATCTGTTAAATAATTRCTCTCAAATCTTTGAAAAKTGAGGTAACAAGGATYTTGGTCTGTAATTGTTGAACATACATTTCTCACCATTCTTAAAAAGAGGGATTACTTTGGCTATTTTTCATGTTGTCTGGAAATATTCCTGTTGTAAATGACAAATTGCATATACTGTATATATGTAAACGGTTCAATRACATAAATCARTTAAAAATGCTAACATGGTAATTAATATGCTGTATAAATTTATATACTAATTGTTTTTACAGTACTGCCAATCTATTCCCGTCCTCTTTTTTCTTGTTTTCTGTACTGAAACATACCTGGAAGTTGTGGATGGGGTTGGGTGTGGGGAGCCAGGTGGAGCGGGGGTTTTCCTGCGAGCGGAAGGGTCCGTTAAAGGCCTGGGTGATGGCGCTCAGGTTGAACGCACAAACTGCAGATGCTGCGATGCTGTTGCTTTATAGAGAAGGAAACAGAGGAGACAATAATATCTTTTTAATACCAATATCGAGAACAGTTCAAAAGGTAATAACTGAAGCTATGTGTGTAAGGAAGTCAATCTGCAGTGGGTTTCATCCTCCTAATGGAAGTCGTATCATTTATGCCTGCACCAAACAGCTACTGTGTGTCTGTGGCTTGCTTTGGCTGCAGGGTAATCTGTGCTATCAATGCTGCACAGTGTGAGGGGACAGCATTAAGCTGAGGATATTGGAGGAAGTTGAACAGATTATGTGCACACACACACTGAGTCTCGTTTTTATATTCCCTTGGGGACCGTGCATTGACTTCCATTCATTTTTTTTTTGTTAATTTTATATCCTAACCCAGACCATTTACCCTAAAATTAACCTCACCGGTACCTACCTAACCTAAACTCAATTCACGCCTTGGTCCTAAACCCAACCACCCACCTGTAATTTGCATTCGTACCATTAGCCGTGTTTCCATCAAGGTTTTTTAATGCACATTTTGAAATATTGTATCAGAAAAGGTGAATGGAAACGGCTTGATTTGAAAAAACTTCCTCTGATTCACATCAAAGTTGATACACTCGCTTGAGGTGGTTTTTGGGTTTTTCAAAAAAGAGTTGATG